TATTCTTTAAAAATCTCCATCGTCTTCTAGTCGATGCATCTAGCAGTTCATCGTCCACATCTAGCTGCATCGAGCGATGCTAGCTGCTTTTTTCGTGCTTGGGTGACTTTTCGAATAAATAAAATAAATTATTCATTTTAGAGGTAAGTACTCTTCCTCCGTGGACGTCCGAACTGAAAGGTGTCAAAACGAGTGACTCATTTTGTAAAACAATCTAGCTTTTTGGGCGAAGGCTATGCCGACGATTCATACACCATCAAATTGATCAACACGTCAGCTTTAAAAATACGTAAAGCTTTTTTGAAAATGTTGTTTCGTTGTTGAGAAAATTCGTTTTTTCTAAATAAGAGGTCGAAAACTTGAAATTTTGCTGGTAATTCTCAATTTTCTCGATCATAACTCAACATTTATGCAATAAAAATACTAAATTCGGAATCAGGATCAAAAACTGAGTCGATTTATATGTATTTCTATCCTATCCGACTACTTTCATTTTTTTCGAATTTTCACATATGCATCCACATATGCATTTACATATACTTGCACATGCCCATCAGATTTCGCGTGCTCAGAAACATGTATCGTTGCTTTGTGGTTCAGTAGGCTATGTAGAGCTACAAACTTATAAGAGTCCGATTTTTCAATTTCGGTCTACTTTTTAAATAAGCGAAAGCTTGGAATAAATTACATCAAGTGTTTTTGATTTATGATGCTTTGCCAAAATTAACATTGAGCTACTTATTTCAACTACATCATCGATCTTTTTATCATCATCAAAATTGATTAGCATGAAAATTTTGGCTGTCGCTTTTCTTCCTTTTATAACGTGAAGTAGTACGCATAATTCAATGTATTTTGACATTTAATATCAAAATACATACCAGATGCAAACAAAGGCGTGTTTTTACCTTCTCAGGAGAAGTCAAATATTTTCCTTGTAATAGTAAACATTTGTCGACAGCATATTTATTGTTCTGATAAAACGCGTATTTTTATCGTTTTAGCTTTCTGTAATGAAATGTTTTGGTGAATACTTGTTTAGCTCGATGCCACAGTTTTTACTCTTAATATGATTTGTAAGTTGATACATTCCATTGTCTCACAGCCCATGAAGTGAATGTAGCCAACGTTTTCTCATATTTCAACGAAATATATATAGAGTTGAGTGCTGTCTCAAGAATATAAGAGAGACAGTGTCAATTATATCTAGGAAAAAAGTTTTCAATAGTGCAAAAAAATAATTTCAAGTTTTATAACAATAACATTTATGATTAACTTAAGTAAATGCTTATTGGGCATGAGACTGAAAGAGATTTTAGAAAAAAGTTTTCAAAAATTCTTCAGGAATGCTGGAAAGAACGAATTTACTGTGATAAGAAAATGGCCTTATCGCACAGGAACAAAACTTCAATCTCGTTCAAATTTGAGTCTCTCTTAAAATTGTAGGGTTAGTGTGACAAATAACTGAAAATTCTAACAAAGAAAACTCGAGTGTTTTTACTGCATCATTAATCGAGTCGACTTCAGAAGTGTAATTTCAATGGCTATAATAGATTTTCATGAAACGAAATTTAAATATTTCTCTTATTTATTTGAATATTCCTTATTTATCGTTTATTATCGATCAGGCAAACAAACACATAATATTACAATAGCTAAATATTACAAGATATCAGTCATATAAAAGAAATCCTGCGACATATTGTTCTGTTTATGTTTGTCTAATACGAGAATAAATCACTGATTTTATATGTCATATCTTAATGAGAGAATTCATTATATGCATCATACTCATGATTGCTCTCTCACTGAAACGGTTAAACATGTTATTATTAATAGTACTAATTCAAGGCTGTCGTGCATTCACTAAACTATCACCGTCTGCTGAATCAAAATTGGACTATTCTACAGTCACTACTACATTGCTACCTCGTGAATTAAAATTGGGCTTTATTGGACCCACTAATGCTGATAATACAGTCAGTCAAACAGGCGGTCGTCCAGCACTGATCGCATTTAAATTAGCTATTGACGATATCAATAACCGTACCGATCTTCTACCAAACACCACATTGACCTACGTGTGTAACAATACAAATTCAAGTGTTGGTCTGGGTATAATTGCTGCATCTGATCAGATTGCAGAACACAAAGTAATTGGGATTGTGGGTGAATATAATTCACTGGTGACGCAGGTAAAGTAGATATTCTCTAATGGCCCTTTTCTAAACGTCTGAATTGCAAGAAATAAAGAGGCTGCTTCGAAAACTCTTCCGAAAGATTTTATACAAAGTTTTTGTATAATTGTGATTAATTAGATAGAGAATAGCATAAAATACCGTACATGTTAAATTTCTTTTTATCCGTTTCAAAATTCAGTGCATTCGCTCATTCTTTTAATAAATTTTTAACAACATGAGATAGAGATCTGCGGTTTTCAGCAATCAAAAGATGACAGTTTAAGATCTACTTTCACAAGCAACATCGTCTTTCAAAAATTTACAAGAGCAGTTTTATACAAGGTCTTTAGAAGATCAGTCTGGATTTTTAGAAACCGACATAGTAATCTATCGTTTTATCTCGTAGACAGATACTCCGAAGTGTTCGAAGCCTCAGGACTTCGTTGTCGTTTGGTTTAGACTGTAAGAAATGTATGAAAACACAGGTTATCATCTTACCTATGACACAGGTTATATCTTGTGGCAATATTTGTTTTTCAAAAAAGTTCTAAAAACCTAGTGAAAACGTATATTAAGTGGAATATCCCATTTTTATGTACCAGTCAAAAATTATGTCAAATTTATACTCTTTTAGCTGCTTCAAACAATTTTTTTACTTGAGAATAATAAAAAACGTTCTTGCACTTCGGAAGATTTCTAGAAAATCTTTTCAAAAAGCAATGTATTTTCCGTTGATTTTTAAAGCTTTTATTGAACTGCATAGTATTGAGCAGCTGACGTGAGTGGAGAAACTTGCGCTACTTTTGGAAATGTGACTTTTAGAAAAAATTGCAGTCAATAGACATTTTTAATGACTATCTATTAGTGAGTTGTATTTTATGAGCAAAATTTAGTTTAAAAATGTGATGAGTCATTTTCAAAAACATAAACAGAATAATTGTACAAATAATGAAAACAACTACGTTTTTTCTCTGTTCTTACTACGAGATATATAAACTCACTAGACCGATACTAACTTTATACATGCGCATATATAAAAGATATCAATGACCACATTATCTATACAGTGATGTGTATGTATTATTTAGTTTTCTTTTTTTTGTAACTGACTTTTTCTGGTGGTATGAATCTTCCATCTCCAATTGTTTTCTTTTTCTCTACACCGTCTGGAAAGACATACAGCAGAACTGATCGATCTGTTTCATTTAGAACTGGTGCCTCCGATCTAATTAAGAGTGATTCTTTAACTAGTATTTTTATAGTGTTTCGCAATGGCTGATTTTGCCTGCGGTTCTGTAACAGTGTTAGTTTCATTGACATTTGCCAGCGTACCAAAAGAATCTTCTAGATCTTCCTGATCAATTTTTACAACAGTTCTCTGAATTTTGTTAGTTTTTGATCGTGTTACGGGTCCTTGTCTAGAGATGGTCGTATCAGATCTTTTCGATACTGTTACTTGTTTCGAAATATTTTTTGGCACGACTTTTGTCTGATATGAGATAATTTTCTCTTGAGCTTTCAGATGTTCATATATGCGTTTTTAAATGACAACGCGTTTTCCCAATGTACGTTTCTCCGCATTCGGAACATTTAGCTTCATAATTGAGTCCTGATTTCAATAGAATAGGTATAGGATCTTTTGGACTGAAACCTGTTCCAATTTTGATATTAAAATCATAGATAATTCTGACAGTTTTTTTAGGATAGAGTTTGTTTAGTGCCATTGCAATTCTTCTTTCCATAGATCTGACTGCTTGCTCCAAAATATAGAATTCTGAAGACTATGTTCTCAGTTGCAGGAGTGTCAGAGATATTTTCTTCTAGAATTTGTACATCATACATTTTATCCAGTCTACTTCGAATAATTGATTCTACAAAGAGTAGTGGATAACCGTTTTGATAGCTAAATTTCTAATGTAATCAAACTCTTTGTGTAGAGATCGAAATGACGAACAAATCTTAGTAGCACGAAATACCATTATTGAGATTGCATTACGTTTATAACATTTTGGTACAAAACTAATCCATTTGGTCAATAATCCTGAATACTTCGGTTTCGAAACTTCGTGCGATGAGGGTGATCAAAAAGGGTAATGTTTTATCAGGAGATTCTTGTTCATACGTAAACTTCGTCGATGTATGACAACAATTTAGAATAGTTGGTATATCTTTTATTGCGAATCTCGATTGGTCTAATGCAAAAATGTCGTCAACATACCTTGTCGAAAATATAATGCCGATGTCCTTGTATTTTTAAGAGTTTTCATACTCGAAATCTTGCATAAAGATTTCAGCAAGTATGGGTGCAAATGGAGCCCCATGCTTACCCTATCGATCTGATCAAAGATTTTTCAGTCAAATAGGAAATGTGAATTTTTTGTTGCAAAGATCAGTAATTTCTAAGGATGTGCGGTAACCGGTAATTTACCGTCAGTAACGGTAAAAGCCTTTTTACCGCGGTAACGGTACGATAAATTTACTGAAAAATTACATTACCACGGTAACGGTAAAAAATTTTTTACCGAAGGTCCGGCAAATACTTTTTACCGAATTTTTCTCCGGTAAAGTATTTTTTTACCGAACTTCGAACTTATGTTTTGTATTTTGTTTTTATTTCTTTATTCCCTTCTAATTCTGACCATGCGGTGATATAAATTCATGCATTCTGCGTTTAGGTGAGGGTGAGGGTGAGCGTTTAGTATATCTGAACGATTAATGCAGAAACGTGTTAATCTCAAAGCTAATGGGTTCAGCTATAGTACGTTCCTGAAAGACAAAGTTTAACGGTAAACGGATTTACCGGTTACCGCACATCCCTAGTAATTTCTTGAAATCATTTTTCTTAACAGTGGGTTCTGCATGTCTGTCAGTTTCGTATAGCTTTTTCCACATGATTTCTATCGTCTCATTCAACGGAATATTGGTGTATAGGGATGTAATATCAAATGAGACGATCTGGGCATTAGCTGCAAGACCTTTTTGTTTCTTTAATTCTTCTATAAAGGATTCTTTTCTTTTAAATAAAACTAGTTTAATTTATAAATATAAATAAAATTTAGTGTGAAGTAGTTGAACTTGATTCCATCGAAGTGTTTGATCTCTAGAAATTTAGAATTTCATTACTGCTAAATATTATCTCGATCTATACCGGCTCAGCATCAAAAACTGAGTCGGTCTATGTGTTTTGATCGATTTCGGTCGTAGTTCTGTTGTCTAGGAAAACCTAATCGGTCTGCGAAAGTCCATACTCACCCTTGCCAACCTATCTCCTTTTTCGCGGATAAGTTAAAATTCTATTTCAGACACTGTTCGAGCCGTCCAGCCATCGGCCGAAAAGGAAAAAGTTATGCATCGTTACTTTGCTATTTCCTTGTCTTGTGAAGAAAAGTAAATCCTACTGTGAAGTGACAAAAGAAGGACATGTTTTAGCATCCCTTCCAAAGTCGATCTAATTCCAGTTTCAATCACGAAATATAGCTAATAAAAGGAGCAGAATTTGATGCACTTATCTAGGGGATCTAAGGCTGGTTCTTGCCTGGGGGAGGGGGGTAATTCCGCTCCCAGTAATCGAAATCTGTTCTTTTTTCACAAAATACGCAATTTACTACGCTATTATTTTTTTGTTCCTGTACTACACTAAACATGACAAAAAATTTATCGATCATCCGCTCAATTTCAGAAGTCTCGTGCCAGCCGTAAGGCCATCTTAGTGAGTTTTATAGAGAGTCTCCAGAAAACCGAAGGCAAAAAACCAGGTTTTATGGTTGTACGCTATCACACATTGTCATAGTTAAAACCGAGGCTTTGATCATTTATTTGATGCAAGGCCAAACGACACATAAAAGAAAATATTAGGCAAAAGTAAAATTAAAGTAATACTAGTGTGCTTTGAATATATATAGAACTAGCAGAATTACCCGCCGTTGCCCGGGTTCTTGAACAAAGAAGTAATTGACTTTTTTTAATGTTATTAACGCATAAGAATTTGTTTAACACAAATTAATAAAAAAATCAGACTTAGTCTCCGCTTAAAGCTTGGTAGTAGAGAATGTTTTTCCACATGACTATATGTATGTACGTCCGTCACACTCATTACTCACTATGTGGATGTACGCTCGTCACACTGTCACATGACTATATGTATGTACGTCCGTCACACTCATTAGTCACTATGTCGATCTAGGTCCATCACACTAATTAGTGATTATATGTATGTACCTCCGTCACACTCATCAGTCACTATGTGGATGTACGCTCGTCACACTGCCACATGACTATGTGTATGTACGTCCGTCACACTCATTAGTGATTATATGTACATTTTTAAATAACTCGGCTTCTGGTTGATTGATTTTAATAAAATTTTCGCGACTTATCATAAATTTTGACCAAGAAATAGTGTGCAAAATTTCGTCATTCTAGACCTTATCGTTTGGGCGTTCATTCTGAGACGGACAGACAGACAGAATGACAAACATTGAGAAATATAGTATAGATACACCCATATTTTTGGTTTAGTTCTTACACACTATATGGTTTTTCACTCAGCCAAAATGTAAAGGATATTTTACACATGCTTTTTACATGTATAATTGTTTGTTTTCTCTGGATCAACTACAAAGCTTATTAAATTGATATCGATATCTATGCTTCGAAACAGCGACTGAACCATTGAAACGGCGCAAATTCTGGATGTTTTAAAAATTTCCAATAAAATTAGTAAAAACGATAATGTTCGACGGATTCATTGCCTGACAGCTCAATCGGATCTTCTATTCCATGTAGAAACTGCAAAAGTTTTTTTGCGTGATCACGCAAAAATTAATGCAAAAACATAAGTGGCGTAACGCGAAAAATGGTTACAAATGCGAAGTTCTGCAAAAGTTTTTATATCCTTCTAGAACAAAATATTTACAAAATTCTGTATTAGTTCGATTAATACAGAATTTTGTAAATATTTGGTTTTAATCAAGAATTTCGTAAATTTTTTGTTCTAGAAGAATATACAAAATTTTGCAGAATTTCGCATTTGTAACCATTTTTCGCGTTACGCCACTTATGTTTTTGCGTTATTCACCTGATTCAAAAAAAATTTCAGTTATAGTAACATGGGTATGGATAACATGCTGACGACGAGCATATATTTTTCGCTCGTTTTATTAGTTTTCTTAAACCGTATAGCTCGCTTAGTAAGTGATTCAGCTCTTTTTCTTTTTCGTAATAATTACTATAGCATAGTGGCACTCTGCATGAAATTATTTTATTGTGTTACATATAATTCCAAATGTCTATTGGTAGGCTTTTTCACACTTTTTTTAGTCCATTCAATATGTTGCTCGTCATTACAAAATACCACAAATATCATATGGTGCTACGTCAACCATATTTACTTCTGATCAAAGCGAACAATATCCATACTTTGTAAGAACAATACCTGATTTAAACTCAGAACTACACGCTCTAGCCCGTTTTATAGCGAATCAAAGCTGGCACCGTATAGCTCTACTATACGGTACTGATAGGCCCAATTTTTACAATGTACTCAAATTTGGCAATTCAACCAGGGAATTTGGTGTTGAAATTGTAGTTCAGCGTGCATTTGTCAGTGGGGAATCAAATGTAGATCTAAGATATCAATTTGACTTAATCAGAAACTCATCAGTACGTGTTATTGTATTTATTGGCACGATCAAAGATCAGCAAGAGGTCATAAGAAATTGTCTTCTACATGCCAGAGACCTTTTTTCACGAGGTTACCAATGGATCGGCGTCCACAACAGTATGTTTCAAGAGCTTTATCGAAATAATTCAAATGATAAAATAATACTAGAATATCATAATTGGACTGAAGGCTTTCTCGGATTACAAAATTTTGCAGATGAAAACTCAGAGATGTACAGACAATATAAAAATCGCTTTTGGCATTCGGTCTCAAACGACAGTGATACACTTACCATTAATCCAACATACAGAGACTCATCAGTTCCACTTATTGCCAATTTTGCCTATGATGCATGTTTCATGTTTGCTCACGCTCTTCATATAATGATTGAAGAATTGGGGCAAGATCCGACGCTGGAGAAGCATCGTGAAAAGTATATGGAAGTGTTGAAAAAAGTCACGTTTCAAGGCGTGACCGGAAACGTCTCGGTCAATGAAGACGGTGATCGCTCAGCTCCGTTTGACATTCTTAATTTTGTAAATGGTTCATTGGTTAAGATCGGCTCAATCACGGCTGAAGGTAACATCAGCTACACAAACGTGAGCATTTCATACACCGGTGGGACACCGACGAAGCCGCTAGACTCTCCACCGCGGCTAATAAGCAAAATATCAAGACCGCTTCTCATTAGCATGATATTTGGCAGTACCATTTGTACCCTCCTATGTCTATTAATAATTAGTTTAACGTTTTATTTTGGTAAAACTCCCGTATTCAAAGCATCAAGTTGGACTTTTCTTATTTTTATGCTCATCGGCGTGATGTGTTTAGCATTGTCAATTATTCCACGTTCATTAGAAGCGTATTTTGAAGCATCTTCTAGCATCCCATGTGTACTGGATCTTTGGTTCACGAATATTGGCTATACACTGATCATCGGTACATTACTAGTAAGTTCGGTTAACTGGAGTGTACTCTTCAAAAAATATGACTGGTAGAAAGGTCTCAGCATCCGTTCCCATTCCCGCTACATAATTACGTCTATGAAGATACATCATGTGAGTGAATGCCTGTAGTCATACTCAAACGTCATCTTTTAAATCGCATGGAAAACACCGAAATCGATTACTATTTAGCCACACTTTAGTCACTCTTTTGAAGCTGCTTTATTGTATCAGTTGAAAAGAACTTCTGTCGAGAGGTGAACTCAGCCTATTCGTTTATCTCAATTCAAATACACTGTAATACAACTGTTAGTAAGCCAGAATAGGGTATGATACCTAAAACTGTAGGACAAAGTTCTGACAATTAAAGCTGGTCATTCCATACCTATCATCACTTTTTTTTTGTAGCTAAAAACTTATCGTTTGCACAAAATATTCCATATGCATCAAAAAATTTATTTACCCGATAAATATCTACTGCTCGTTTTATTCGGCCTAGTATTATTGGTTAGTTTAATAATGATTGGACTAAATGTCTGTGATCCACTTTTTATTCATTTGGATCAGAGCGATATCTACGGAAAAGATTATCAATATTGTTCATCAACGCATCAGACCACTATCTATTTTCCTGTTATTTTATCAGTTCGATTTTGCTTATTGCTGCTAACCTCGATTTGTACATTCAAAATCCGTCGAATACCCGATGCATTCGATGAGACTAAACAGTTGAGTCTAACAGTATACAACCTATTATTCTTGTCGATTCTACTGCCAGTACTTGATACAATATTGGTCCGAGGTAAAACAGTAGCAACAATTGCTCATGGAGTATGTGTTTTTGTTATCTGCATTATCACCGTTACGGTCATGTTTCTACCCAAATTGCTCAATGTGTACTGCAACTCAGGCACGAATTCTACGAGTACCGAAGCGCAAAGAATCAGCACAATCTTCGCATTTGCATTTACTCGAAGAACTTGTCTCGAATTACCGAGAGATACTTCGCGCATCCGTCGACTCACACATTGACATATATTGTATCTTAATCTTTCATCTCGAACAGATTTTATATGAATAAGTTCTAGGAAAACAAAAAATATATGACCTATGAACCGCGATCGTTGTTACTAGAATAAAAATCTTTCTTTATCAGAATAAAATGAATTTGCTGTACTAATGCGCAGTTCAATACAGAGACAAAGTGGTTGAAAAAATACCCTTAAATTGAACGAAAATTCCAATCATTTCATACTTAGTAGTAATCGAGAAGGAGAGATTATTCACAAAAGATTTTCTCTGCAAAAGCCACTACAGAAGTAACTGCGAATCCACGACCAAAACACTATTCTACACATTGTCACAAAATGGTCATGAAACATCCATCGTTGTTGAGAGAATAATAAAAATATGTCGAAAATTAATGTCGATGCCTAATGAAAGTAAAATTCCTGCAGAATGGGAATAGTCCTATTGATTCTGATATAGAAATTGATATCCTTGATACAACAGATAGAAATGATTTTACAAAACTTTAATTTTGTTACGAATAGTAGTCAGGATGATATTGATAAAACCGATACAAGTGCTATTTAAAAATATTAGATAACAACCTTCTTCCGCTATTCACAATGATGAAAGGAGTAGTACGCCTAAGACTTGAAATCGGCTCATTGAATTATTGTTATTTTATTGTCTCAAAGTACCCAGACTTCGTCAAATTTATTCCGCGCTTTAGATTTATCGGACGATTCCGATTGGACGTATACGAACAGATCTACTCGTAGAGAAACCCCCTTGTTACACTCTCAGTATCACTTTAAAAATGAGCCGATAAGCCAAGGTTCCTGTGATGCTAATGTCTTAAGAAGACTTTTGCCTTGCTGATGTTATTACTTTAAAAAATGCTGTTTCATTAGTATTCTGACCAGAGACCAAAACGGGTCACAGATGGATACCCCGAACCCGACCCGATCCGAAGGGTTTTCGATCCTATCCGATCCGAAAAATTTGCTAAATTTGACCCGAATGACCCGAAAATTTTTCTTGGATAGCCTAACAATTTTTTCTGGAAAAAGAGTAGAACCAGAAGAAAAAGCATAACAACAGCAGCAGTGTGAATCATTTTATTTTATTTTTAAATTCCGACGTTTCGATTTATTAAAAAATCATTATCAAGGATATAAAATACAAAATGATTCACACTGCTGCTGTTGTTATGCTTTTTCTTCTGAAAATTCTACCTATTAGAAATAATAATGTTTAAGAGTAGAACCCTTTAGCTTTCGTAATAGAGTAAACCATTTCTCAGATTTTTTCTCCATGTGATGGTTCATTCAGATTATGATAACCCGAAACAGGAAATTGTTTTTCTCGATCGTATATTGTCATGAAGTTTAATCAGCATAATGCGACGCATATTTAAGTCGTTCATTTTTTTGGATGTACTGATGTTTTTTTTCTTTTCTTTCTTTGCTTCAACAGTGCGACACTGTACAGTGTACAATGTATATTACACAGCGTCAAAGCAGGAAGGAGAAAACACTACTTCTTTTTCCGATAAAAAAGACACATATCGGAAAATAGATGAGTGAACCGAAATTGAAGGAAATCTCTTGATTTATTTTCTAGTGGCAAGATTCGAATAAAACTCGAATTTTGTTTCCTGCGACTCGACCCGAATCAATATTTTTTACATTGACTCGAACCACACCCGATACGACCGGACCTCTCTGACTCTGACTCCATGATGAGTCTTATGTTAGATTATGGCTGTGCGCAAATGATGGGCTATTCCTCCAGACAAGTGGCCATTATTAGTGTCCGTTTCGGTGATTACAACAAAAAACATTTTTCGATGGAAAATTTTCCCACTTTTGACAGTAACTTTCAAATACTAGAAACACTTAATTACAAGAATAAGCGCTCATGGAATTTTGCTATTTATGTTCTGAAAAACCAGCAGATCGGTATTGTAGTAGGTAGTAAATTCGTTAAAGAAGCGAGTGGGAATTTCTCTGCGGAGTAATTAAACAAAGCAAATTACATTTTCGATTAAACAAATATTGTTCAGCACTATGCTGAATGTGTATATATCAGTAGATAATTAACTTTCCTTTATTTGACGGAAGTTTAATACCAAAGATAATTTTATTATTTCCCATTAATTGCATGCCGTGCACATTATCCATAACCATTCGTCTAATCACATTTTCGTCTTCATCAATAATCACCAATTCGCTTCTTTCATTTTGTGTCAGGCATTTGAGAACCAAAAATGTTGAGAATCAAGCAAAACCGAATAGATTCGACAAGCCTTTACTGTTCTGACAGACTGAAGAGAGATGGTATTGGGCAGCTTTGCATATTGGTATTTATCGTAGAGATATATACGATCATTCCGTTCATTACCCACATAGACAGCAAAATATAATGCAGTCCGCGTAGTAGCTATTCAACGAAGTATAGTATCACCTTCCAATTTATAATTTATATCGCAAAGGAGTTCGAGAGACAAATCATCACGTATGGTGTAGAGTTTAATTCGTTTATTGATATGACTGCACATCCAAATTCGATTTTCAGGATCTGCCCATAGTTGATTGGGAAGATCAGTAAGAACAAATTTAACCAAAAACTGACCATCGTGTTTGAAAAGCGACAAATCTTTGAGTTTAGCGTCTTTATTCTCAAAAATTTCGTTCATAAATGACAAGATAGACTTGTGTAATCGTAAAGCAGGTAATTCTATGCTGACTTCCCAATGAAAACCTCAAAAACTGTTTTGGCCCTTGAGTATAACAAGTAGAAAAGACGCAAACTTTCCCTCGTCGCAGCAAACAAAAATCGGTTGATTCCACACAGCCACATATTTCGGAACAATATCAGTCTCTATATTCTGAGTCGGCACTGCTGATTGCAGGTGATGCCGTTGCTTCTGAAGCAGATGAGCGGTTTTCTACTAACTGACCAACTGATGCATTATTCGAATTTGAAGACGGATAAAATTCAAACTTTAAACAGAGGATAAAAATTATTCACTCATAAACCAGATAGTACCTTGATAGTTTTGTAATCCACTTGATCTAGAATTTTTTCAATTTCTTCGGTCAACATCTCAACTGCTGAAGAATCTTCTGCTGAAAACAAACTTTCTGTTTTCATCTGTCGATGAACTGGATTTTGTTCAAGCTATTCCCACAATGTATCAAGTTCACTCAATAAACTAAACCGAATAATATCTATACACAGTTCATTTCGGAGACTACGTGGCTCACCTATTTCGCTCTGAACTTCGAAATTGCGATACAAATTTATCTCGTGTATCAGTCAATTTTTTTATCAGATAAGCATACACATCATTAATAACTTCAACTGTCTCGTTAATTTGATTTCGACTCCGTTCTACCAAAAACACAAATATCAGAACTGCACAGATTAGATACGGCATATATTACCGTAATTTATTTATTAAACTTCAAGTCTGGTCAGGCATGGCCAAAAACCAAAACCTCTAAAAATCAGTTTTTGGCCTGAAATCCACCTTGGAACTTCTGGTATTGTGTTCTCGTGTAGCCCATGTTGTAGAGCATGTCGAACTACCCTTGTGCACCAATTTTGAGCATCACACGACTTCGAGAACGAAAATTCCAAGTTTTCGATAAATATCTCATAGGCTGTAATCATATGCACTAAAATGAACGTACAAACTTCGAATTTTCGTTCTCCAAGTCGTGTAGAAGTTTTAAGGTGGGTTTCGGGCCAAAAACCGATTTTTAGAAGTTTTGGTTTTTGGCCTTCCCTGACCAGACTTGAAGTTTAATAAATTTTCGGATTGTGTAGGGTTGCAGAGAAATGTTTGCTCTATCGAACTCATGTCATACGACAACTCCATGCTATAAGAACTTTCGGCACTAAGCCCACTTAAAGGAGTTCCACCGATAGATGGCACCAGAAGCCAGCGTAACCTGCTTGAATGTTACATTTCCTGATAAAGTTATCTTTTCTCTGTCTAACAACGCAAACCACACGTCTCTAGCTACTTCCGTTGAGAAGTTATTCAAGTTGCAACCAACTGCATTGTCATATGAAATAGATAGTAATAAAGTTAAAGCATTGGGTATATGTTGAAATACAGAACTATACGTTTTATGTTCGTCTATTTTATGTCGAAGTGCCGCATACCTCTGTTCAGTCAAAACAATCATCTTTATCTAATTCATTAACGAGTATTTAATAAGCATAACAGCCTTTTATTAAATTGTGTTACCGAACTTGTTCACCGAGTAATTCAGCAGGTTCGTTTGGATCAACATTTTGTGAAAAATAATCGATTATCACAACAATGTTCATTCGACATACAGGCATTCATGACAGACACTTGTGTTTGTATGCCGTTCTTAATACAGGCGTTAATAATAAGTTATTGCGGTTTAATAAATAATTGTTTCATTCCATGAACAAATTCATT